ACACTGTCGCCAAGTTCGAGGGCTGCTGGTGGGTCCAGCAGACTGAGGCACCGCGGGGATCTGAGCGAGACCTCGCCGTCCCTGGGGGGCTGCGATCTGCGACACTGTCTCCACTGTCGAGGGCTGCTGGTGGGTCCTGCGGACTGAAGCACCGCGGGGATCTGAGGTAGGCCTCGTCGCCCCTGGGGGGCTGCGATCTGCGACACTGTCGCCAATTTCGAGGGCTGCTGGTGGTCCCAGCGGACTGAGGCACCGCGGGGATCTGAGCGAGACCTCGCCGTCCCTGGGGGGCTGCGATCTGCGACGCCGTCGCCATTTTCGAGGGCCGCTGGTGGGCCCAGCGGGGTGAGGCACCGCGGGGATCTGAGCGAGACTTCGCCGTCCCTGGGGGGCTGCGATCTGCGACACTGTCGCCACTTTCGAGGGCTGCTGGTGGGTCCAGCGGACTGAGGCACCGCGGGGGTCTGAGCGAGACCTCGCCGTCCCTGGGGGCTGCGATCTGCGACGCCGTCGCCACTTCCGAGGGGGCTGGTGGGTCCTGCGGACTGAGGCACGCGGGGATCTGAGCGAGAACCTCGCCGTACTTTGGGGGCTGTGATTGCGACACTGTCGCCACTTTCGAGGGTTGCTGGTGGGGTTTCTGCGGACTGAGGCACCGCGGGGATCTGAGCGAGACTTCGCCGTCCCTGGGGGGCTGCGATCTGCGACGCCGTCGCCACTTTCGAGGGCTGCTGGTGGGGCCTGCGGACTGAAGCACCGCGGGATCTGAGGTAGACGTCGCCGTCCCTCGGGGGCCGCGATCTGCGACACCGTCGCCATTTTCGAAGGCTGCTGGTAGGTCCTGCGAACTGAGGCGCCGCGGGGATCCGAGCGAGACCTCGCCGTCCCTGGGGGGCTGCGATCTGAAACGCTGTCGCATATGTCGAAGGCTGCTGTTGGGTCCTGCGGACTGAGGCACCGCGGGGATCTGAGCGAGACCTCGCCGCCCCTGGGGGCTGCGATCTGCAACAGTGTCGCCATTTTCGAGGGCTGCTGGTGGGTCCAGCGGACTGAGGCGCCGCGGGGATCTGAGCGAGACCTCGCCGTCCCTGGGGGGCTGCGATCTGCGACACCGTCGCCACTTTCGAGGGCTGCTGGTGGGTCCAGCGGAGTGGGGCACCGCGGGGATCTGAGCGAGACCTCGCCGTCCCTGGGGGGCTGCGATCTGTGACACTGTCGCCACTTTCGAGGGCTGCTGGTGGGTCCAGCGGACTGAGGCACTGCGGGGACCTGAGCGAGACCTCGCCGTCCCTGGGGGGGCTGCGTTAGTAACCACCACGGCGCCCTTATATCTTGATCGGGGGCCTGCGAGCCTTCCGATTGCTGCTCGCAAAATCACATGCGTCCGTGTTACGTCATCGCCTCCGTTGAGCAATCCTGATGTATTCATGCCCCGCATTGCGCAAGGGTTGGGTACGTCGCCAAGGTAATGTTGCCTCTTGGGGTTCCCCTTCGGGGGCCTCTTGGGCCGACTTGGGGCCTCTTGGGCTGTCTTGAAACCATATGGGGCCATCTTTGAACGCTCTTGGGCTGCCTTCGGGCCCTCTTGGACCTCTCCGACGCCGTCTTGGAAGTATCTTGGGCGCTTTGGGGAATGTCTTGGGTCGCCTTGGGGGCCTCTTCGGCGCTCTTGGGGGGCTGACTTGGGCCGACTTGGACCGAAAATGGCCGAAAATTGTGCCATATGATCTGATCTCGGGTTCGCCACCCCCCCACACCCATCCCTTGTTATCTCTCCCAGCCAACGGATCGCAACGCTACGCGCGCGTTCCGTCATCCGCCGCCCCCTGTCGATTCATCACAGGGGTGCCGAGCGTGTTAGACCCTACCGGTTTTGGTGTTCCAGAAGAACTCTCCCCTGTGGCTCCGGTCCAGCCCGCCGGCCACCCAGAAGGATCCGTAAGGGATCGCAAGACCCAGTTCCCAAGGTTTTTCCTGCTCCAGACGGCTCCAAGATGGCCCAAGATGGCCTCCAAGACGGCTACGATGGCCTTCAAGTTCGCTCAAGATCGCCCAAGATGACCTCCAAGACTGCCAAAGAGAGTCCAAGATGCCTCCAAGTTCAGCAAGGAAGCCTCCAAGACGGTCGAAGACGGCCCCAGAGGCTCCCGAAAGGCCTCCAAGACGGACCAAGAGGCCTCCAAGAGGGCCTCCGAGAAGGCCCGAAGACGCCAAAATCATTGATTTTCATTATGTGTTTGACGGATTTTGCCATGTGCGCCTATTCGGCCTTCAGACATCCCAAGACGGCCTAAGAGGCCCCAAAGATCGCCCCAAGATCGCCCAAGAGGCCCCCGAGATGGCCCCAGAACGGCCCAAGAGGCCCCCAAGACCGCCCCAGGAGGGCCCCAAGGCGGCCCAAGAAGCCTCCAAGACGCCCAAGATGGCGTCCAAGATGGTCCTGGAACACCCTGGGAGGGCCCCCAGTCGACCCAGAGAGGCCCCCTAAGACAGCTTCCGACGTCGTCAGACGGGCCAGGAGCCCACCAAGACGGCCCATGATGGCTCTCAGATGGCCCAAGACGGTCCAAGAGGCCCCCAAGAGGCATCCAAGACGGCCCAAGAGGCCTCCAAGAGGGCCTCCACGAAGGCCCGAAGATACCAAAGTCATTGATTTTCCTTAGGTTTTTGACGGATTTTGTCACTTGCGCCTTTTCTGCCTTGAGACGCCTTTTCGGCCTTGAGACGCCCCAAGACGGCCCAGAGGCCCCAGGACGGCCCAGAGAGGGCCCCCAGACGGCCCGAGAGGCCTCTAAGACGCCCAAGACGGCCCTGGAGCACCGCAAGAGGGTTTCAAGTCGGCCCAGAGAGGCCCCCAAGACAGCTTCCGACGTCGTCGGACGGGCCAGGAATGCCCTGAGACGGCCAAAGAGGCCCCTGAAAAGCCCCCAAAGCCCCCAAGAGGCCCAAGGATGCCCCCAAGATGCCTCCACGAGGCTCCCAGAAATCTCCCAGGAGGCCCCAAGAGTGCCCCCAGAGGCTCCCAAGATGCCGCCGCCTCCTCCTCCTCCTCCTCCCCTCCTCCTCCCTCCTCCTCTCCTCCTCCCCTCCTCCTCCTCCTCCTCCTCCCTCCTCCTTCTCTCCGCCTCCTCCGCCTCCTCCGCCTCCTCCGCCCCGCCTCCCCTCCTCCTCCTCCTCCTCCTCCTCCTCCTCCTACTCTCCTCCTCCCTCCTCCCTCCTCCTCCTCCTCCCCTCCTTCTCCTCCTCCTCCTCCTCCTCCTCCTCCTCCTCCTTCCTATCCTGCTCCTGCACCTCCTCCTCCTCCGCTCCTCCTCTCATCTTCCCTCCTCCGTTTCCTCCTCCTCATCAGATTCCTCCTCCTCCTCCTTCTCCTCCTCCCCTCCTCCTTCTGCTCCTCCTCCTCCTCCTCCTCCTCCTCCTCCTCCTACTCCTCCTCCTGGTAGTCCCCGTCATCCTCCCCAAAATGTTCCCGGAAGGGTTTCCACAACGGCTGGGGGAACGCATGGCCCGATAGTTTGGCAGAGCTCTTGCCACACCGCTCTCACACATGGGCGATTTCAAACCACTTGCTCCCTCACGCGTTCCCCGAAGGCTTTCCAAACCGACTCGGGGAACAGCTGGCCCGATAGCTTGGCCAAGCTCTAGCCCAGCTGTCGGCCACATAGGCGCTTCCACACGGGCAGGGGGCGGCGGTGATTCGCCGTAGGCGTCTTCGAAAACAATACGTTTGTTTCGGTGTCGTACGTTGTTCGATGCTTTCTGCTACGTCCTGGAGGGAGGTGTGAGTAGCTCAAGAAACAGCAATAGCGGGGGAAAGGAAGGCCAGGGAATGGAAGGGAGGGGAGTAGATGGAAACTGGGAGGGGGATGGGGAGGGGAAGGAGAGGAGAGAGAGAGAGAGAGAGATGAAAAGAGAGAGAGAGAGAGAGGGAGAGAAAGAGAGAGAGAGAGAGAGAACGAGAAACAAAAAAAGAGAGGGAGAGAGAGAAATAGAACGATAAACCAACTGCACGGATGACGGCAGGCTCATTTTCAAGATTTGGCTCTCCCTGGCAATTCCCCCAAAATCCGCCGGCCCTCCACCGGTTGTCCTCCTCCTGCCTCTCCCCCCGCATGCTCCTCCTCGTCCTCCCCGTCCTGCCCCTCATCACCCTCGTCCTCCCGCCCCCTCCTCCTCATCATCCTCCTCCGCCACCTCCTCATTCTTGCCGTCCCCTGCTCCTCGGAGCAGGGCGAGTTGAGACAACGGCAGCTCGAAATCGATCCCCGGACTCCTCCCAGGGACCGGACGCGCCAATTGTACGAGCTGCGTCCAGCCGTGGCGACGAGGGAGCCCCCCGAAGGCCAACTACGGTGAGGGCATTGAATAAGGATCCATTGGAGAAGGAATCCAGGCTCTGGAATCGTGGATCGGCCGTGGATATCACCGCCGCCCTCATCGGATCAGGAATCCTCCAGGGTCTGCACCCTCCTGGGCACATTCCTTCACGAACGCCCCCACCGTACCTTTGTCTCAACTCGCCCTCCTCTGAGACCCGCCTTCTCCCCGCTCTCCTTCACTCTGCGGGCGAAGAACGATACAAAATACACCGTTTCGCTGTCGGGGGCGCCTGTCCGGGGGCGGCTGGAAAGTTTGCACCCTTGCGGTGGCAAGTCGAGGTATTAACTTTCCAGCCGCCCTGGGACAGGCGCCCCCGACAGCGAAACGGTTTATGTTATACCGTTCTTCGTGGCCCCACAGGAAGCTCCACCACCGAAACCACCAGTGGGACCGTCCGCATGCGTCCCGAAGCACCTAATTTGGCATTTTCGCCCACCCAGTGCAGCGTCTCGTGGCCCCATAGGGAACTCCACCGAAGGCCCCAGTGCCGCCGTCCGCATGCGTCCCGAAAACACACTGTGGCATTTTCACCCACCCAGCACAGCCTTTCGTGGCCCCATAGGGAGCCCCGCCGAAGGCCCATGCCGCTCTTCGCCCGCCGACCTCTCCCCGCTTCTCCTTCACCCCCACTCGCGCCGGAGGGCCTTCGGGGTCCGCATCCACGGCGGCACGTCCGTGCTGCCCAGGTCGAACGGGTGCGGGTCGTCGTAGTACGGCCACGGCTCCTCTGCAGACGGAGCGGCGAGGTGTGCGTCCCACGACGACGACGACGCCGACTGCCCGACCGACCGATCGACCGACCGACCGACCGACCGACCAAAGGACCGAGGACGACGACAACGACGCCGACCGACCGACCGACCGACCGACTGGACGACGACGACGACGACGACGACGACGACGACGACGACGACGACGACGACGACGACGACGACGACTACGACTACGACCACGACGACGGCGACGACGACGACGACGATGACGAACGAACGGACGAGGAGGAGGAGGACGACGACGACAAATCAACGACGACGACGACAACGAATAAACGAAGACGACGACAACGACAACGACAATTACTACAACGACGACGACGGCGATGATGATGACGACGATGTCGAGGCGGGGGGAGGAACGAGCCAGGAGGAGGTAGAGAAGAACGGAGGGAGGGAGGGAGGGAACAGCGAGCAGGAAACAGGATGAGGAGGATAAGGAGGAGGAAGAGGAGGAGGAGAACGACGACGCCGACCGACCGACCGACCGATCGACAGACCGACCGACCGACCGGACGACGACGACGACAACGACGCCAACCGACCGATCGACCGACCGACCGACCGACGGGACGACGACGACGACGACGACGACGACGACGACGACGACGACAACGACGACGACGACGACGACCGAACGGACGAGGAGGGCGACGACGACGCGACGACGACGGACGACGAAAACGACGACGATGACGACGACGACGACAAGGACGAGGACGAGGACGAAGACGACGACGAGGACAACGACGAGGAGGACGACGACGACGACGACCGAACGGACGAGGAGGAGGAGGACGACGACGACGACCAGGGCGGCGGCGGCGGCGGCGACCACCTGCGGGCGCTCGCCTGCCGGGGGTTGACGATCGCATCCGGGCGCAGCGCGTCCAGGGGGACCGCCTCGAGCTCGGGCTCCCACTCGTTTACTCGCTCCTCGCCTGCCGCGCGCCATCGCCGCCGACGATGACGAGGACGGTGAGGATGGTGATGACGACGATGGTGATGACGATGATGGTCATGATGATGACGATGATGATGATGGTGATGATGATGATGATGATGATGATGATTATGAAGATGATGATGATGCTGATGATGATGACGATGGTGATGATGACGAGGATGATGACGATGATGATGATGATGATGACGATGACGATGAAGATGAAGATGAAGATGAAGATGAAGATGAAGATGAAGATGAAGATGAAGATGAAGATGAAGATGATGATGATGATGATGATGCTGATGCTGATGCTGATGCTGCTGATGATGATGATGATGATGATGATGATGATGATGATGATGACGATGGTGATGATGACGAGGATGATGACGATGGTGATGATGATGATCGGGTAAGGCCAGAGGTGCTCTGGGAGCGGCGCTCGGCTCAGCCACCTTGCATTCGGCATGTACGGTCGCAAGAGCCCCGCGGGGCCCAAGCCAGACCCAGGCGACGAGGGGCTGGCCCCAGACGCCAGATTGGGGCAGCCCCCCGCTATGACCCCTGGTGTCAGTGGCCACCAGGAGCATCGCGGTCAGGCCGCCCCCTTCCGCCCGAGCCCTCGCGGGCTCGGCGGACGTGAGAGCTCCCAGGCCCCGACGGAGGACCGCCGACGGCCGCCCAGGGGCCGTCGGCCGAGTTTTTCGAGACGCGACCAGCGGGTCTCATCTTCGCGCCCTCGGGCCGACCCGCGGCTCGAGTGGCGTGCAGCTGGCTCGGGCGGCTCGGCCAAGCTGGCGCCCCGCCACCGCCGTCGGCCTCGTCGAGCCGCCTGGCCGCCCGCCTCGGCGCGGGCGCGACTCGGGGCGCGCCGTCCGCACCGGCGCCGCCGCCGTCGGCCTCGTCGGGCCGCCTGGCCTCCCGCCGCGCTCGCCCTCCGGCCGCGCCGCCCAGCGGAAGAACCGCGCTCGGCGCCCCGCGCGCGGCGGCGCGCCGCCCGCGCGCGGCCCGCCGGGCCGCCGCGGCGGCCCGCCACAGGGGCCCGAGCAGAAGCCTGCCTCGCGTGGGGCACCGCTGCCGCGCGGCCGGCTGCGCCCTGGGCCGCGCGCGCCAGCCAAGGCGTGCCGACCTCCGAGCCGCAGCCCGTGCCGAGCTTCCACAGGTCCCGCTGTCGAGGTCGCGGCGGCTGCGGCGCGGGAGGCCTGCCGCCGCCGCGCCGACGGGCGCGGTGCCCGAACTCGGCGAGCCCCGCCCTCAGGTCCGCCAGGAGCAGCGTCCGCACCCTCGGCGCGGGCGGCATCCTGGAGAGCAGCATCACGGCCAGCTCCACGAGCCAGGCGCCGCGCTATGCCGCGGAGGCGAGGAGTCCGCATCACCGCCGCCACGACCACGATGGGCAACACGAGGAGCGGCTGCGCGACCAGCTCCGCGAGCTTCAACGTCGCTTCGGCAGCGCACGCCGCGCCAGCGGCGCAGTGCGACTCGAGCGCGGACCCGAAGACGATCGGCGCCAGCGGCATCGCCTGCTCCGCCGCGCCCTCGTGCGCGACCTCGGTGCCGCGGGGAAGCTCGAGGGCCTCCTTCGCAAAGTCGCCCAGCTCCCTGCTTGGCTCCGTGCCGTCGACGCCGCAGGCCCCCTGCTCAGCAGGGGCGCTCGGCGCCCCCCCGGGAGGATCGGCACCACCGCGAGGGCCGGCGCCGCCACGGTGGTCCTCCTCTCCACGGTGACCCGCGCCCCCGCGAAGCTCCACGGCGGGCAGCCCCAGCAGCTCCACCGCGCCCCCGCCCGCGGCGCGCGGCCCTCCGCCTCGGCCCTTCGGGAACGGCGCGGCCGAGCTGCAGCGCGCCGGGCGCGGCGCGCCGCCCGGGCCGCTGGCGGCGACGGCCCGCGCCCCCGGGGCAGCCGCCAGAGGCTGCGCCGCCCGCATGGCCTCCACCTCGGCCGCCACCTCGCTGCAGCGCCGAGCGCGGGCTCCGCGCCTCGCGCAGCGTCGCCTGCGGCAGCGCCTTGGGGTGCGTGGCGGGCTGCCCGCCGAGGCCTCCACCGGTCGGCGCTGGGGCCGGCGGGGCCCACAGCTGCCCAGCGGCCGCACCATGGCGAGGGCGGGCCGCTCCCCGTGCGCGCACGTCCGCTGCGGGCCCGGTCGCAATACGGCAGGGCGAGCACGGCGCGAGCCGCACGGCAACTATGATGGTGATGATGCTGATGATGATGATGATGATGATGATGATGAGGAGGAGGAGGAGGAGGAGGAGGAGGAGGAGGAGGAGGAGTATGATGACGACGACGACGACGACGACGACGAAGACGACGACGACGACGACGACGACGACGACGACGACGACGACGACGACGACGACGACGACGACGACGACGGCGGCGGCGGCGGCGGCGGCAGCGGCGGCGCCGGGACGGCGACAACGACGACGATGACGACAATGACGACGATGACGGCTGCGGCGACTTGGGCACTTGCCCACCTACGCTTACCTACGACCCGCCCACGACACCACCACACCTACGACCCACCTGCGACCCAGCGGGTCGTAGGTGGGATGGTGCCGACTTCCTCTTGTTGGCGGGAGATCGAGAGAAGGGGCGGGCCTTCTCGAAAGGCTGGGACGTCCTTCGGGCTTCTGGAAAGTGTTCGAAGCTTTCCCCGAAGACACGGGGAACTGCTCAGAAGGCGTGCGGGTTTCCATCAAGGAAGAAGAGGAGGAGGAGGAGGAGGAGGAGAAGGAAGAGGAGGAGGAGGAGGAGGAGGAGGGAGGAGGAAGGGGGGTGGGAGGGGCGGGGAGGGAGGGGGGGGGGAGTGGGGGGGGGGAGTGGGGGGGGGGGGGGGCGTTAGGAGGAGGAGGGGGAGAAGGAGAAGGAGGAGGAGGAGGAGGAGGGGAGGAGGGAGGAGGAGGAGGAGGAGGAGGAGGAGGAGGAGGAGGAGGAGGAGGAGGATGCCGCGCGTTCGGGCGGTGCCACGGGGCATCCATGGCGGAGGGCGCGGAGTTCAGGCGTCTGCCAGCGATCAGGCCAGGGAGTCGCCAGAGCAGGACTGAGAGCCGCCGCCACGCGACCAGAGGGCGCACTGAGGCGGGAGGAGGGAGGGGAGGGGAGGGGGAGGGAAAAGGGAGAGGAGGAGGAGGAGGAGGAGGTGGAAAGGAGGAGGAGGAGGAGGCGGGAAGGGGGGGATGAGGTGGAGGAGGCGGAGGAGGAGAGGGAAGAGCGAAGAGGGAAGAGGGAAGAGGGAAGAGGGAAGAGGGAGGGAGGAGGTGGGATGGGGAGGAGCAGGCTGGAAGGGGGAGGGGAAGGAAGAGGAGTGGATTGGGGACCTTGAGTGCCAGTCAGGGTTTTCAGAAAGTTCTGGGGAGAGGAGGGAAAAGCGGGAGGAACGAGGAGGGCGAGGAGGGAGGGGGGAGAAGAGAGGGACTGGGAGGAAGATAGGTTCTCGAAGGTTCTTGGATGTAGACTGGGTTTTCGAGGCTTTGTAATGTTCTATTTGGGTGGCTCTAGGAGGGTACGCAAGGGACTTCGAAGAGACGGTATGAAGGCTCTGGTTGGGAGTTACTGCGGTCGCATGAGGCCGCCAGCAACGGCCACGTCCGGAAGCAAGCTTCAGACAAATACACTGTGGACCTCCGAGAGGCGCACTCCAACGAGCATTGCGTTCTGACTGGCAGCAGCCCAAGGCCCGCAGACTGCGCCCTGCGCGCCCAAAGCCCAAACGGGTTGCTGATCGGACAGCACGCCCTCTGTGCTGCTCCATCCCTCCTACATCCCCGCATCCCCCCCCCCGCTCCTTCTCCATCTCTCTACACCCTTCACGTCCGCCTACGTCCCTCCTCGCTCTTGCCTCTTCCCTCCGGTCTCCTCCATCCGCCCCGAACCCCCCTCCTCGCCCTGCCTTCTTGACGCCACGCGCCGCGGGCGTATCCAGGCCTAATCTCGGAGTTTGCCCCTCTCCTCCTCCGCCATTCGGCAGATGTCCCCACCCCTGGCGGCTCCTCCGTGGGGTGCTCTAATGCCACGAATGCTGCCTCGCGAAGAGCACGGGGCTCTGAAAGACAAATGTCCAAGCCACCAATAAGACAAACCGCCTGAGACATCACCACAATCTGGGCGCGAACGGGCAAATGTCCCCATCCCTGGCGGCTCCTCCATGGGGTGCTCGAATGCCACGCCTAATGTATCGCGATGGCATGGGGCTCCGACTGAATGAGTAATGTGCGTACGAGTCAGAATATGACTTGGCTGAGTATGAACGGACCTGAGTGAGAGCGGTGTACGTATGATTGAGTCTGAAGATGCGCGAGTCTGAGTCACGAGTGGCTCTCAGTGACAGTGAGTCTGAATAGCAGTGGGTCTCAATGCGATTGAGCGAGTATGGGCGTGTCTGAGTGTCAGTGAATCTGCGCGTGAGTGCATCTGACTGAAAAACGGTTTGAGTGTGAGTAAGTTCTCGTACGAGCGACCCGAGACAAGGCAGGCGGGGGGTAAGGAGGACGGGAGGCGGAGGCATCACAGCAATAACGAACAAAACAAACCTAGGATACAGTCGACGCGCTACCAGAAGGAACGCCAAATAAGTAACGACGGGGCTTGTCTGGCCACGGCTGGCCTAGGTCACAAATAGATTTCCCGACCTAGATCTGAGAAAACGCCCTCCAAAAAACGAGTTCCCCCTGAGCCCAGCGGTCCTTATTCCAGCGTCCCCCCGACTCTATGGGGAGACAAGAAACGGTCACAAGCTGTGGACGACCCCTCGGAATAGAAACACAATGGGACGCACAGAGACATACTAATACTATGTACTTCCTCCTTGGAGGTGCGCGTCCGACCCGAATATATGATATACCCATCTTGTAGTATTGCGTTTCCCAGGCGGTGTGGCCAGAAAGCGCCCGCCACGACGTATGTACTACAGGATTTCTCGGTGCGCGCGTCGCCCCTGGGGTGGCGACGCTCACATAGTATTGGTATGTTGGGGTGACGCCGACACA